GTACGCTTTCCTGAGTCACTTGAGAGCATGGTATGTGATAGTAGAGATTATTGTAAGTTTAATCGTTGTGAGTTCTCCTAGCCCCGGCACTCGTGAGAAGCAACTTTCTCGCGGTGAGCGTTGGGTAACGCTAACAGCTCTTCCCCGGTCCAACAGGCAACCAACCTGTCAACTGAATCATTTGTCGGCATTCCCGTGTCAGTCTCTGCAGACCGAAAGCTTAAGGCGACAATCCTCCGTTTGGTGTCCCGTGTTACGAAAGATTAACGGTCAATTGTGTCCTGCTTGACTGTGTTGATTTTGGCATCACAAGGGATAACTATTTCAATGTAAAAACGATGAAGGACCTTTTGAATAAAGTACATGTTCATTTAATTATTGGGGTTTTTTTTCAAAGAAATTGTTTCAATTGATAAATTTTTATTTGGTTTTGTAATTAATAAATGATATGATTTTTTATTTTGCCTGTGAGTGGCAATATCTTCAAAGTGGGATGAAATGGCGTAAAATGATTGAACAAGTCCATCCTCATTCAAAGATTTTAGGATATTTTCATACTACATGTTTATAATCGTAGAATGTGTGTTCTTTTAATGTTGGCTAAACGAGAATACAACCGCCAATTACTGAAGGGATGCTGTAAATACAGCTGGGTTGTTTAATAACGTAAACAATTTTATTCTTGATATTATCTATTTTAACGAAAATTTTCACTTTGTTTTAGGTGGGATGATTATTGTAAGATTGTATACTGTAATTGTGGGGGCGGTGGGTTAGCCTAGTGGTTAAAGCGTTCGCCAATTATGACGAAGACACGGGTTCGATTCCCCACATGGGTACAATTTGTGAAACCCATTTCTGGTGTCCCCCGGCGTGATATTGCTGGAATATTGCTAAAAGCGGCATGAAACTAGACTCACTCACTCAATGTAATTGTCAGGTGATGCTAATTATTGAAGCGGTTGTAAAATACTGAGGATCTTGATGTTAGATTTGAGCAGCAGTCATAATTTTATCCATTCTTTGCTCAAATAAAATGTTTGTTCAGTTACAATCTTTTCTATGAGTAATAGCAGACTTCAATGTAGGATACCATGAGCATGTACTTATGAATGACGATTGATTAGTATAGTGATGATACCATGCGTGTACTTAGCTTCATATGTCTTAAAACATATAAATCAATGTTGTTCAAACAACAAAAGCACAGGAACATTGAGGAAAACAGTCGAAACAGGGAATTGATTTTTTTCTGGACACAAACGTAATTTTTCTATTTGTCTACTGGAATGTTGAGTTTTGTTTGTTTGTTGTGTAACGCCGCACTCAGCTATAGGTCAACGGTCTGTAAAAAATCGAGTCTGGATCAGACGATTCCATGACCAACAACTTGAGCATCGATCGACACAAATGGGATACGATCACTTAGTGTCAATCAAGTCAGAGAGGCTGGCCACCCGATCCGTCAGTCAACCTGCTGATTCAGAAGATAAATGAAGTGAGTGAGCGAGTTAGACGTTGGAGTCACATTATCAGTAGATATGCCATATCTGACTAACAAGTTATACATTCATAATACATCAGTAGGGAGTATGGTTTTACGCCGGTATATTCCAGCAATATCACGGCGGGGGACACCTAAAATGGGCTTCACACATTGTACCCATGTGGTGAATCGAACCCGGGCCTTCGGCGTGACTAGCGATGAATTTACCACTAGGCGTTTACACAGCCCTAATATGTATATATGAAATACTGTCATCAAAAGACGTTGAAATTATCAGATTGTATACGTTGTATACAAGTCTGTGTAATCATAAAAGGAAATGATTGTTAACGAGACATAATAAACACATGATCGCCAACAACTAAAGTTAGATCACCCGGACTCCAACAGGATTTACCTCATCCTTTAGTTATTGGTGATTATTGATAAATTTAGCCAAATTAAAAGAACATATATTCAAAGATTAAACCTATGGCAGAAATAATTACTTTGCAAGATGTTATCCTAGATACCTTCTCAAGCGGATAGTAATTACCCGCTACTTCAACTTCCTTTGAGCGTATAGCCACTGACAGTTAGTTATCGATTTATTCTACCAGTTATAATATGCTGTTTAATTTATAAGACACAGAAATAAAAAAAATATGATGCAGCTCTACATCCTTTACCAACATAAATTAAATTAGCACTGACATTGTTCAAACGATCCTTTAAAGATACTGATATGAAATATATATCCTATGTGATGGAAATTTCAACAGAGACAAGCAGAACATGTTTTGACGTGATTATTTTATCAAACTGGCTACAGAATGAAGGATCTTCACTCTTTAATACATAGTTGTGCGTATATGGAAAAAGGCCAATACGACATCGTCGCATACCGACCTCTTCGAATCTGGACTGACAACCCTAGTAGGTGAATCCGATAGTCAGTTTAAATACATGAAAATTAATAACAATATACACTATACGAAGTCTTTCAACGGCATTTAGAACTAATACACACAAAGGCAAGGATTTATGGATGCCAACTCCTTCACTTGAGGAACACGACGTTTTGGAGCATGTGTTTACTCCTTCATCGGGTGTTCCTTAAATAAGGAGTTGACATCCATAACTTCTCGCCTTTAATTTGATGCAAACATTTAATACCTTGTATAGGGCGTCCCACTTCTGTTACATCACAAATACATGTATATGAGACCGCCTCCGTGATGTAGTGGTTAGAGCGTCCGCCCGGAAGGTCGCGGGTTCGATTCCCGACCGCGTTATACGAAAAGACGTTAAAATATGGTACTTGTTAGTTCCTTCTCGGCATTAATGGTTACAACAAGGACTGGTCGGCTCGGAGTCAGTATAATGTGTCTGAGTGGGGTATTCATGCTTCACTGCGGCATGGTATCTCAGTGGGCTAGCACTATAAAACCAGCTTTAGTCTGGGCTAGTACAAGCAGCCACACATACACACGCATGCACGTCGTCATATGAGCGAAATATTCTCAAGCACGACGTTAAACCCAACTTCACCTCACCCCACAAATATATCACATGGGTACAATGTGTGAAGCCCATTTCTGGTGTCCCCCGCCGTGATGTTGCTGGAATATTGCTAAAAGCGGCGTAAAACCAAACTCAGTCAGTCACAAATATATGATTTGAGTACTTGCTCGGGAACCGAAGTGGTGTCACAGATTTATACATGTATACATTGTTTACACTTGAATGTTTCTGTAAGCAATGGCTGCTACTGTGTGCTTTCATGTTAAGTCAAAGTCGTAAAGGCGTTAGGGTTTACGTGTTCATGACAATAATCTGCTCAATCGACATTCTTTAGTATTCAAACATGAACAGGCCATACTTAAGTACTGCGGAAGTAACATCAATCGATAACACTTATGCGGATGTCGGGTCAAATATAAAACACATAAACCAGTATTTACAACATCAATGTTTAATGTACGATCGCTTTTTTTTCTCTTTGAGTGTATTGTTCCAATAACAACCCTATATCAATATCGGTTCAATTGTGAACGTAGATATTTCCACACAAGTATTTGTACAGGGCTTCAGTTGCTAAGTAGATATCAAGGGTCTCATAAGCTGTAGTCCAGATTTGTTATGCAATTGTTACTAGACCAAGATATTCACACGTTCTAACAGTCTTAACTGGAACATTGTTATTGGTCCATCTTTCATTTCAAGAGAGTCTTCAACCTCCTGAGAGTGTACGTAAGTCCGAAGACAATTCAAGTAAATCTAAACATACTATTATTTTTAACTGCAGTATGTATGCTGTTTTAATTTATGGCTAGATTGACAAAATTGCTAACATCTGATGGGATGGTGTAAAATCCAACTAGGGTCCATGCAGGTAACAAAGGCACTGTAAGTTCCCATGGTCCCTAGTATGGTGATCTACTTTCAGTTGTTGGCGATCTATATATATTAAACTGTATTGTCTTTAATAGTTAAGATGTTTTAGATTTTACATTTATTACTGTGATATTCTAATTATTGCACTGTTCTTTGCAGACAGATTATTATATTATCTAAATTTAGCTTTATTCATTTATAAATTACAACTTTCTTAGTCACGATATGGCTGAATACTGCCAATGTGACTTTAAGTTTTAACTCACTCCAGAGAGTCTTCAACTTGATAAATCGACAACATGTATTTGTGATCTGCACCAGACATAACCTCTGGAACTAGTGTGTCGAGTTTGGAAAATAGTTCTTCATGTTAAAGTGTTATAATATGCGTAGGGTTGACATGTAGTGCATGTGACGTTTAAGGCTTTGGTCAAGTCCATATTCCCGAGGATTGTGTTTACAGGATGAGGCACATAAGCAGAGCGAAAGACCACACCCTTTTGGTGTGCCTAAGATTCATCAGTGTAAGGTTTTAGACAACTGGGACAGTTATGACTCCTTCTTAAGTAGACAGGTACGCATTCAATCCTTGCCAAAGCAACACTAAGAATAGAAATCATTCACATTCATTTGAACACGAAATGGATCACACAGGAACACTGCACAAATGTTAAGAAGTGTTACACACTCGAAAACAAAATATTGTCGAAAAGAAAACACAAGACTGCAGTCATGAATCACAATTTGACAAAGATTTTAAAAAAATTGTACGTAATTGTACACGACGACACCCGGAGAAATCCTTTAAAAATCAAAAATAATTTTAAACATATACAGATGCTTTTATGTCTTCACGTTTGCCTATAGATCAAGAAGAGTATTGTCTTCGATAAGTATGATTCTTCATACCTATCTCAAATTCATTTGATTTACTGCACATTGGGATCGTACACCACAATTAGACGCTAAATATTAAGATATTGTACCAATTAAAAGTGGTGCAGCTAACGATCAGGATAACATAATTCATTTTGGACGATTTAGCGTGGTTAAGGCATGTGTTGTAAACGAAAAATTGGATGGCACAATACATCAAGGTATCGAACAAGGAACTTCATCAAACATATTTCTCGCAAGCATAGTATCTTGAGTGCTCTGGTCCCCTGTCTTGCCAGCGAAATGCACTGAACTTGAGAGCCACAATGTAGTCTCTGCTTGCTGTGGCATTCATCGGGGAACCTGAATCCCAGGCAAAATAGGTCACTGGTCGACCGTCGTTGTATACCCACTGCCCTTCAGTTGCCGCATCTGATCCATGGATGTAGTAGCTACTTTTTGTACTATCTGAAAAGAAAAGCATAATGTCAGGACAGACTTAGAAAATACACTTGCCATGTCGTCAATACTCATTTGGTGTCGTCATTGTACAATAAGTGGCCTATTCATAGCATATTCACAGTTCCATGGTTTCATTTTTTGAGGATTTTTAAGACCAAGCATTCTTTTCTGCTGGGGTCATACATTTGTACTAACCGTATATTGGTTAACTGAATGGAATTGGGACCAGACTATGCGAACGTCATGTGGTCTTCAAGTTAACTATACCAATCACAGCTAATTATTATAATCCCTAATTAACCAGTCAAAGTTGAGTCTCTTCAAAATTCCTTGTGTAAAGTGTGACTTCATGAAACGCCACTTCAAAAAATAAACGACATTTGCAGAGTTGCAAAATCTCTTCGTGGAGATTTGGGGGAAGGCATCATTTCTAATAACCAGGCCTTCCCTGCACTTTGACTCCATGCACCATTTTACAAACTAGGTTAGCAAACTATGCATCTTGCTGATCGACACAATAAATCCTCCTTTCTCGTCATAGTTTTCATACATATTTTAGATGACATCTATAATTATTTGTTTGCATGAAAATTTCGTAAAGTAAATTTGGATTTATATATAACTGTGTTAGCTGACTGGTGGTTCTTGATCAAATGCGACAAGGCACGTGGTGTGGCCGCCATGTTGGAACGCATTTGGTATTTTAGATTATTATTTGTTCGCGAGTTTGATACGGCGATTTAACTTGTGTCCGAGTTAAACCTCAAACGAAAACTCGCGAACACATGGTAACGAATTTATCTCGACGACCACCCTCAGTAAATGCTTTAAATCTGAACTGAAAGAATGAGATAATCAAAATGGAGGCCGATTGTGTCGGTATAACTTTTTATTTGTGAACGTACAATGTTTTGGTTCATACCATTACATTCAGCAGAAAAAAGTTTGGTCCAGTACAGTGGAACGGTTCTTAACTGAAATAAAAGATTTATACAAATTAAGCAAAACGGTAGCTGAAACGGCGATTTCTTATGTGTTTGAACGGTCACGTCAGCTCGTGCAGATATACCACCTTAGAAACTGTGCAATCCAACGTTCGAAATCCACTCTCTCAATCACTGTCAAGCCATTTATCTTTAACCGCCTCCGTGGTGTAATGGTTAGAGCGTCCGCCCGTACGGCGGAGGGTCGCGTGTTCGATCCCCGACCGCACCATATCAAAAGACGTTAAAATATGGTACTTGTTGGTCCCTTGCTAGCGCTCGGCATTAATGGGTACAACAAGGACTGGTCGGCTCGGAGTCAGTATAATGTGTCTGAGTGGGGTATTCATGCTTCACTGCGGCATGGTATCTCAGTGCGCTAGCACCGTTTATCTTTGGACTCTTCAATAACACATAATACCGTAAGCAATTGCAACTTTTATCAACTTGGGTATCGAGGTTAGGTCAGCGTAACCTGTATTGGAATGCATCAGCTCGTAGACGACATCAGCGTTAGACCAAGCGAGAGCTTACTGTAGATGTTCTACATCGGGTTAACACGTGGACACCTGGTGTAGTGAATGTGGAGATTGATTATGGTACACTGGTACAGAAGTTGCATTTATGGCCTAGAAGTCAAGTGGAAGTCAACGCATCGGGCATGGTCGCCGCAAGGAAGTGTCATAGCGGACTGCGGGACAGAGCAAGAAAGCGAGACGTTTTGGGACGCTGGCGTCAAGGCAGGGCGAGTAGAAGATGGGCAAAGAGGAGGTGAAGTTGGTTGTCAGGTTGTCACAAAAAGGATTATGAAATCATGTTTCGTAAATTTCTTCATGACAGTAAACACTGACATTGTATGCCTCGGTTTGTGACTATGTGTGTCTCTTTGTATCTGTTTGCGTGCGTACGTCTGTGATTTACCATTATGCTACACTCCTTGTCTACATCCTTTTTGCTGCTTAAGATCCGGGTTAGAACTGATCTTCAGTAACCCATGCTTGTCGTAAGAGGGTGGTCAGGCTCGCTGACTGGGTTGACACATGTCATCGTATCCCAATTGCGTAGATCGATGTTCATGCTGTTGATCCCTGGATTGTCTGGTCCAGACTCGATTATTTACAGACCACCGCCATATAGCTGGAATACTGCTGAGTGCGGCGTAAAACTAAACTCACTCCCTCACTACTTCCTTTTTGCTGCTTAAGGTGGTTGACTCTTTAAGTTCTTTGGCTTTTGGAATGGGTAACGTAGTTGGAAGCTAGATTATACTTTGGTTATGGTACACTTAATCAAACTCCTACTTCTTCTAATCTACTGAATGAACACTTAAACAGCCTCCAAATTTAAACAGGATTGTCTCCACACTTCGTGCAATGATATTATGTAACCACATTGACCTGACTGAGGAACCTCAACTTGCCTATGTACTTTGAAGCAGGTAATGGCATAATATTCTTTTTAAAATATCTAAGATTTTGGAAAACATTAATGTTATATTTATACTGTGACGTGTTCTTGAAATTCTTGAAGATTTACAAACATTGTCATGTTTGTGTCACCTGTGACATTTTAACTCCTTTCGTGTTAGAACTTACCTGCAGTGATTTTTTAATCTTATATGGATCGGATCTTCATATTTAATCATCAGTTCGAAACTTTGATATTGGATTAAATCGACTTTCATGTAGATCTATGTAAAACGCAACACCACAATACATGTCCATCAGATAGCTTGCAATTACCACAGTTGCGCGACGCTGGTACTTCTGGTGATCGGAAGACTCTAAAGGAAGATGGATCGATCAATTGAATTGATTCTGTGGATCCAAAACAATATCTTTTCGATTGCTTGATAACAGCTTTATTTTCACAGCAGAAGCTAACGCCATACTAACCCATATTACCAACCTTAAAATATATTAATAAACGCCCTATATACATATATATGTACAATATATCATATTTATTTTCAAACTCTCTTTTGTGCCTTCAGGCTATTAAACATCTTTCTTGCAAACATCCACTTTTAATTGAAATTATTGAATTATATATTGATCTTGCTACTGGCCACGACATTGTCCTCTGTTGGTTACCCAGCCCCGTTGGCATTTCTGGTAACACAATGGTTGACCTTGCTGCTCACTCAACAAAACCGTGACACCACTTCTTGTTCCAAACACTGATTATAAAGCTACTATTAGATTTTATATCCGTGATCTGATGCTAAAGAAGTGGGACACCCAAGTAGGTATATATAAGTTACATGCAATAAAGCCTTCAGATTCAGATTCAGATTCTTTACTTACCTATATCTTTAAAGACAATCGGTAGTACATACAAACACGAAAATTGGTACAGGTGGATGACTAGACATTCACTATAATCGAGAATGTACAAATCATTACCTATTATTTAGCAATCATTTCATTTCTGAGACAACAGGATTTATATAAATATTTACCTAAATTACATATCTGTTATACATTTCTAACACTTAAACGTTGAATAAGTTTACGCATTGATGGACATCGGTAGTTATATGGTTGTATGTATAATTTTCTATAATTATTATAATATGGACATCCTTTTATAAAATGGAACTCGTTTTCAATATCGTCTTCACAAAAAAAAAAACATTTTCTTTCTGTTATATTAGCATTACTGTATCTGGCAGTTTCTATTGCTAAATATTTCCTAAAGAGGTGCGGGATAGCTTTACATAGGCAATATTGCAAAGTACAATTATCAATAATATTTCAAAGTACAATTATCAATAATATTTCTATAAATTACACATTTTGATGAATTAGATAAATTACTGAAAATCTCTTGAGACACTTGATCTAAGAATCGCTGCCTTACAACAGGTATAGGTATGCAGGACAATTCTTTGACTCCAATGCTAGATAAAAATATTCTTCACCTGATACGCCCAGTTATTAACACCACGGGTCTCCACTTCCTCATATAAATATTCATAACAATTTCGAAGAATAAGATTTTTGTGTGTGAAGCAGCTTATACCTAACCCCAGACCTCCGATGCATATCATAATATACTGCCAACATAACAATCAAAAACGGATACAAGAGATTCAGGATTAAGAGAGAGAGATTGACCTTACATTATTATAGTGAAAAGAGGGCCGTTCTACCTTGATCAGCAAGTTGGATCTGAACAATCGTAAACTTAATATTATAATTACAAACAACTCCCAAATATGTTAAAGTATCAAACAACACGAATTGTTGGCGGTGTGTGGTCCTGTGCGTAGAGCTCAGGTCACAATCAGTTGAAGTTAAGCAACGTTGGTCGCGGACAGTCCTCGGATGGGTGACCGTGTTTGGCAGCTTGACTCCTGAAAGTTTCTAGGACTTCAGTCATGCCCCACATCTTTGAGCATTTCAGCATACAAGATCCAATCTTTCAAAACGGCACCAGCTCATCCGTATATATTGAGCTCTGTAGCTCGTTTTCACAAGGAATCACAAGCATTTGAAGTCTCTGATTCATATAGACATCCCAATATACAGGAGTGGACTTATCCCAAGATGTTTTTCTCAGTATTTTCGCTTGTGTCTGACCAGTCCGCGATCCATTTAACCCCTTGGATGCAGGACATGTATGTCTTTCCTCTTCAACCCTCACTTTGAAGTCCAATAAAATTCAAAATGTATCACGCATACAAATACACTTCATAGTTGGGAATGTTTTGTTTCTTGACACCATCCACTGTCATCTTAGGCAAAGCAAAAGTGCTGATCATGAAATGGCCTTTCAAAATTAAATACATTGTAATGTCGCCATTATCTACACATTACGAAACTGCGTTTCACATATTTGGTGTATGTTTTGAAATGTGAATATGGGATCATTAGTAGGAGCACTGAATTTCAGAAATAGCACTTTGTTACGAAGATGTGTTTTTGTTAATTACAATGTCACATTAATTAACTGTTATTAGCTATTATGGGTCACTAAAGTTGAGAGCTCTGAATGTGAATTTGAACTCACACCTTGCAT